AACAAAATCCAAACTCCATTTTCTTTGATGACGTGCAAGGAAATTTCCCAAAGACTAAACAGAGAGCATGTTGCCTAATCTCATTTCTGATCCTAGAAAACCCTTGGTGCACAACTCAATGTGAACCTAATTAGATATGAAAATTATAGGGCGATCTCACTTGTAACAGAGATGCTCACATTCTTCAGCATATCAGTTAGCAGAATCCATCGTGACCTGATCAAATTTCTCTGGACAGCCAGGGAGGAATTGGGCTGAAAAAAGGGCATTTGCAAATTCTCCTGGGAATAGCTGAAATGGATTATGGAGGGACTGCATATAGGAAGAGACAATGACTCATATGCACATACCCAATAACAGCCTTGGGCTATGGCGATGGTTTCTGACACACTTTGGGAGAGGAAAAGGTGATTACAGGCCGTTCTGCAATAGGAAACATTGATATCAATGCCATGGTGGGAGCATACATCGACGTCACCATTTTGGGATAAAACTCACAACCCAAAGAAGCTCTTACCTGGGTCAGACGACATCCTCCAAAAGCCACCATGGGAGTTGTTTGCTGCTCTCTGCTCCTTCCTGCATTGTCATGCGCCCTGGAGCCCTGGGTTCCTCTGTCATATCCAGGTCCCCAATCCCTCCATTCACCACTGGTTACCAGGGCTGGTTAGGAGGTGAATGGGGGGGATCGTTTTAACAGGCGCTCAGTTTGTGTTTGGGATGACGAAAAAGTTCTGGAATTTGATAGTGGATATGGTTGCACAATGTTTTTGAATCTACTTAATGCCACTGAACTGTACACTCTAAAGTGATTGAAATGGTACATTTTATGTTATGTGTCTTTTATGACATTACAGGATTACTAGTTCACAATTCAGAACTACATTTAAAAAGTTATGCTCAAAAAGATGTTTCTGACCCTCATATAATTTATCCTATTCTGCCTCATCCTCATTAATAAAAATGTACACTAATTTCTGATATTATCAACTGAATTGTGTGCCACACAAAATTCATTTGCTGAGCCCTAACCCCCAATGGACAGTGTTTGGGGACGTATTTAAGGGAGGCATTAAGATTAGACGACGCCGTCAGGAT